CTACTACTACTACTACTACTACTACTATTATTCCTTTGAGTCAGTGTTGACTCCTGGTGACTGCCTGGACAAGTCCCTGCAGTTTTCTTGGCAAGGTTTTTAGAAGTGGTTTGCCATTGCCTCGTTCCCAAGGTCACACAGCTGGCTTCATGCCTAAGGCAGGACTAGAACTCATGGTCTCCCTGTTTCTAGCCTGCTGCCTTAACCACTACACCAAACTGGCTCCCAATATATCAGTTGGTACTTCTGAAATCTAAAATGCTGAGTTTCAGAGGAGCCTTACTTTCTTTTAGTTTAGAAAAAGTTACATTGCATGTTATTTCTTAACATAAGCTATATATAACACGCAGACTATGATAGACTACTGTTTTCACTCCAAGTTTCAGAATAAATTTTTCTGATTCCAAGTGGGTTCAATTTAATAAAGAATAAACAAAATTCTGACGCTGTTATTTAATGCTTGCTCATGCATGGATTACATGGATTTAACATGGGAGAGAGATGAAAGTAGTAAGTGGATTTTTTAACCATTTACTTTTCAATGCCTGTCTTTAGAAATGAGAAGATTGAAGTTCGACTTGTGAAACGGAGAGAATATGATGAAGAGACTGTCCGATGGGCAGATGCCGTTATAGCAGCAGGAGGTATTAACTTGTGAGTGGGGAAATGTATTCTGAGTTATTGGAAACTTAAGTAAATACTTTTGTAGCAATATGGAAGTCAGATTTGCCATTCCACAAATAAGTCTAAGCTTAAATGTTGATGTGCAATTAAATACATGCTAGTTGCTAAGTGTTGATTTGATCCTAATCAGTGTTTGCTTTGGAGCTCTATTGGTGTAATTTCCAGAAAACTTTAAAAAATGGATTTCACTATTTAAAAATATGGGTTATCCTTCCAAAGGTGCAGCCATTGCCACTGTAATTGAGTTCATCCATCTAACTGCTAGCCATCCTCTTTTTCCATTTCCTTCTGTCTTTCCCAGCATCATACACTTTTCAAGAGAACTAGGTCTTCGTGTATTCTATCCAAAATATGATAATTTGAGCCTGGCCATTTGTGCCTTGTGTGAGAACTCTGGATTGATTTATTCTATGATTTGTTTGCTGTCTTGGCTATCCATGGTATTCTCAGGATCTTCTCCAATACCAATATTCAAAAGTACAGTGACACCTCAGGTTACGAACTTAATCCGTTCCGTGACTC